AAGAACATAAACAATTCTTCCTTGTAGTTGTGCAGCATCAAGAAAGACACTTTCCTAACAATAAAAAGGAAACAGCAATTCAAAAGTGACTAATTACATCAAAAAATCATATAATTGTGTAATTATATTATTGTAAATGCAAAATAATTATACATCTCAGTATCTTATGATGTGCTATCTCTGATGTCAGTTTTACTTTCACTGAGACAGGTTTGAATTCTGCTCCTGTAGAGAAATTTGAGGCAGAAGTACATGACTCTACATCTGCTGGAGACTATTAAAACAATTTTTGTTCAGTTCCACAACCTCCAGATTTCCATAAGGTTTGCAGTCTGTGCTCCAAAGATTTAAAACATTCTGCAACCCTGCCAAACATCAATTATCTCCTTGAGCCTTTTTCCTCCCTGTCGAAAATATTTCAAGATATTTCAACCTATCTCCATATGATAATCATAGGAATATTGGAACTAATCCAGTTGTTTGGTGGATTGTACCATTATCAAATAGCATCACTACTACAAATAATAATGCAACTAACAAGATGTTTGATTCTCCTATTAATATTAATTAAATCTGATAAAATAAAAAATCCAAATTGTCTATGATATGGAAGTTTTTTTTCAATGTCAAAAAGTGCAAGCTTGTGTAACTGGGTTATTAGAATTTGGAAGAAGTTATGTTGTAGTAATCTTAACATTACAAATGAAGAGAATAGCATATGGGCAACTGTATACATGAAATTAAAGCCAGCTTTATTATTTTATCTTGATGAAATAGTTTCATTGTGCTGAAATCTATTGTCAGATATTCTATACTCAAGAGTCAATCCTTACTTTGTGGTAATTTCTTGTTAGGTTTCTTTTGTAAGTGTTCTTGACATAAGAAACATATAACCAAGATGAGAATGGGAGGAATTGATACCATAAATATATCTGGTCTGGTTTAAGCAAGAGGGAATCCTCAATAGCTGTGGCACTTGAAATTTTTTTAGACCTTTTTTTTCCTTTTTATTAGCTATATTTTGTGCACCAGCAATACCAAGCTAGGGTGTGTGTGCATAAACCAATTCAATTTTATTACTCATCAGAATCTCTACCAGCCTACCCTCAAACTGAAATCCTTTTAGGCAGGATTAGAGTAAATTAATTTATGAGACCTTGGATGTGGTCAAATACATCAATTAAAAGGGTTTGACCTCCTGAGTCCAAAACTGTAATTAGATCTCAAATTGGTAAAGAGATGATGAAGCTATGAGGAAAAAGTTTGTATTTGAAAAAAACTTATGAGCCATTCTAGGAGCTACTATGCCGTGGCTAAAAAGCTAAATTATGATATTAGGTTGAAACAGTTCAAATTAATTTTATTGGAACACAGAAAACCTAGGTATAATATAAAAATAGTAATTTTTTAATGTTAAAACCTAAATCACTTTTATTCAATTTGTAAGCAATTCTGGCTAAAAATAACATCTTGTCACACTTAGAGCTTATATTAACACTGCCAACAAATAATGTGCAATCTTGCAATAGTCTAAGAATTATAAATTACATGTATTGCAATATTGATGTAATACAATGTGAAAGGTATAATTACAATAGATAAATATAAACCAATTATATGGTTATGTGACATGCAAATAATAAATTTAACCATCTATTGTTACAATAGCATATAAAGATATTTTAATAAGTTTGATATATGTAAACATATATACAGTATATATATATATATATATATATATATATAT